AGTAAAACGTTAAAAGGGTGTTTTGATTAAGTGAAACAGGTTGAGCAGATAACAATTTTATGCCCATGTGAGTCCCTTTCACATCCCTTAGATTATCTAAATATGGTGGTTTGACCTATTGACTCAATAGCACGGTCGCATCATAAGAGGCATTTCTCGTTTGGAGGATGCTTTACCTCTGGGCAATTAATGTATATATATATTAGCTGAGTATACATGTCTGTACTTGCATAATAATGGTATTCATGATATTTCATTAGCCCGTAGTTTCTAAGTGCGGGCAAAGGCCTACACCGTCTAATAGAAAGCCTACCACCTATACTTTATCATAACAAAAGCTAAGAGTGAAATGCTCGAGTAATGAATCAAAATGTTTTGGGACGGCATGTTTTAGACGTGGGTAAATTGCTTTTATGTGGTTATGTATTAAATGCTGTGTGACTCAACACGGTCCTTAATGTGCGAAGGTAGTATAGGACTGTAATACATTACTTTGCATTATCTGTATGTGGTTAGCGAGGCAAACGTGTGGTTCAGCCAAAAGGAAATGTTTAAAACTATACCCCAAGAATCCTAATTTAAATAAGATGTCTCCAAAAAAATCCCTCAAAAATGTATTACCATGTGATTTCTTCGAGCGAGTTTTGTCTATTTATACTATTTCACCAATAGCTAAGTTTGGTTTGAATCATTATTAAATGCATTATTAAAAAACGGAATAACAATATCCGTTTTGGTCAAATTGGATTACCAAGAGTACATGTTTGTCAAGTGTGTTAAACTTATGATTTATTGACGTGTGAAACCCGTGGAAATTCACGATCAGGATGGTAAATAATTAATGAGAAGTGGACTTTCGTTCCGTTATTTATGAAATATGAACGTCATCATTTGATGAAATTTAGCATCATAATTATACCCGGCCACAGGAGTGTGGGTTGAGCTTAAAGGCATGTTTTTCAGATCAATCACAAATTACAGAAAATATTCTATAGCAATAAATTATTGCATTTTCATAGAAATAGAAATAGAAACAAATTATTTTGTTTTAACCATTAGTAATTTCGTTTTATTGTTGGTTACATCGCTCTCAATGACAGTACTATTTATCATCATTTACAAAAGATTTCTTTTTGAATAAGGCGGTCAAAATTTAGAGGCACTATAACATGTTCTAAGCACTCGTTCTCGTTATTAACAATCTCAAAGAAGAAATTGCCCGTGGATTATGCCTTGATTTGTCCATTTATCAACATTCTTTTTCATAAATGCGATTTGTATAAGTTCATAACTATTACCATCTTTATTATGACATTTTTTTTCGTTCTGCGTTGTTCAATATAATAAAAAGTAATATACAAACTAGGTACATATATATATATTATTAACAAAAGTCAAAGTACATATAATCATATCATAAAATAAATTAATTAAGCAATTATTCTTTTTCTTTTTTAAACATAGTTTACAAAAATTTCAAAATAACAAAATTGCCTAAAGAACAATTGGCAATTAAGACATACCATTAAATGCATTTCAACTAATAAATGTAATAATTATCGTACAATGCTCGGTAATGAAAATAGTAATGATATTTTTTCTTGTTTACCCAGTGTAGCCTCATCAGTATTAATATTATTCTCCCTGAGGGCTCTGCATTCGTATTATTACCCCGGTGTGCATGGTTATAAAGTTTGTTGGTCGGTCAAAAGTGAAATTTGAAAAAACATATATATGCTGAAACAAAAAATAAATGTAGCCACAGTATTTTTCCATCTCATAGAACAACTCATATTCCACTTACCGTTTGTATGAGCAACGAGTCTCAACATTAATAGCGTTAATGTCATTAAAGATAGGTGTATCCGCCCTAGCATCATGTTGTGGAACAAGGAAACCAATATGTAGACAAATTTAGCAAAGCTTGATCAAATCCTCTGCTTGCACTGGTTTGATAACCATGGAGATAACCATTAGAGAGATCAAATTCAGTAAGTGATGGATTCACCACAGTGTCCCTGCACTTGCTAAATTGATGCTTTCTATTAGAACGGTAGACGCTTATGTCCAGTCGACTGGTCTGCCGCGCCACGTAGCCATGAAATTATGAAACAATATCAAATTTGATTTCGAATGCTCTGCTCGACAGCTCAACTCAACCTAAACGCGTCAGTATTCGCCGATATTCTGTCCACGGTCTCAAAACAAGCAATCCTTCATACATAAGCATGTATCTCATTCATTACAAGTCAGTAATGGTATTGATTATAATCACAGCCATGACTATGTCTACAAGCTAATATGACAGGTTTCTTCACTAAAAGCTCCCGTAAAACAAGGATGTTTTTCAGAGAAGGGAACGGTGCACAAGTGGTTGGGTTCAACACGTCAATAATATCTTTCACGAATAATTTTGCTACTCTCTAACACTTCAAATGACACAAAAATTTACTCGAATCCTGCTTGTTCAAGTGTAATATCTGTCCAAGAAAAAAAGAAAAAAAACCTAATTCGACGTTGCAATCAATACATGCCTTGGTATTTGCATGCATAACTTTGATGAGTTGCATGCATAACTTTTCAATGGAAAAAACATTGATGTGCTTCATTATACTACGAAAAAAAAACGTTAATATGTTATGACATCATGACAGTTTATACAAATAATACATGTTTGCGAGTGCATTAGTAAATATGCACCAGTGGCGGATCCAGGGGGGCCGGGGGCCTGAGCCCCCACCCCTGGAGAAAAAAACATGTAAAAACACGTAAATTTTATCTTTTTTAGAGATGGGCCCCCTCCCCTGGCACTCAAGGGGGGGGTGCGATTTTTCAAATTTTCGAGGGCCAAAACAAAATTTGTGCTCACAACCCCCCCCCCCCCCCCCCCTCCACTGAGCGAATTATCGGATGGCTATCGCCGCTAAATATTTTCTCACGAATTGGGCTCCCTCCCCTGCCGCCGGCTGGATCCGCCCCCGATATGCACTGTACGCAGGTTTTAAGTCACAGTAGGATAATGAACGCTACTTGTCGAGTTCATTGTCCGTCTTCTTGTTAACCAAGTGGAATGCATATTACTAATGTATGAGCTAAACACGTGTATTATTTGTTTTTTAAGATGGGTCTACAATGTGAGTATAAAGTCGAGAAATCGACGGTTGCTATCACCAAAATGCACTCCTATCCCCGTGCATATGGTAAAAATGAATGCACGCACACGTGATCCATTTCGACGCTTCTCATTGACTACATTCTTAACCCAGTTTACAAAACACAATGGCACATAGTGACAGTACTTCATTATATTCTTTAAATGTCTTAGTTTGGCATATATAGAAAGAGAGACAGAGAAAAAGAGAGAGAGAGGGGGGACAAACAGTTCCCTGATATAAAAATTAGATGATTAAATACCCCCCCCCAAAAAAAAAAAAAAAAAACAAACAAACAAACAAACAAACAAAAACATATATATAGCAGTGACTACTACTCGAAGCTGAAGTAGATAGTATGTTGTGCGTTTTAAACAGTACAATAATTTAGGCCCATTGCAGGCAAGACGTCAATTCTACTGCGAGTGGGAGCCCCTTTTTATACTCGGGAGAAAACCAAAAGGGTCGGTGTTAGTTCCTTTAAAGCAAGATCATTAAATATTTATACAAATAAATGTCAATATTGTCTAATTAACACAATCACAAAGAATTTCAAAAGTTAACCTAGGGCAATTTCAATATGTTCTGTTTCCTTGCGCTTCACTTTTTGAAACATGAAAATGACATATTACGAATCCGAACAGGATTTCTATGGGCGATTTAATACAGTATTGAAGTTGCCCTTGAGCAGCTATCTGCAAGTACAGGATGGTTGAATTACTCAAGAATATATTCCTGCCTACAACTTTCTTATACATTTTCCAAACAAAACAACATCTTTCAATATAACCTTTTTCATTCTTTTATTAGTTATAAAGAAGAAATTGTCAAATTTATATCGTAAGCAAATAATTATCGTTGGTGAAGGCGATTGGACAAACTATCACTTCCGAGGCGATCTGGATGTAGCAATCTTTTCGAAGCGAAGCTGAGGAAAAATAGCGTATACATTCAGATTCAGCCGAGGAAGTGATAGTTTGCCATCGCCTGAAACCAAAAGGTGATTATTTGCTTTATATTCCACATTTGAAACATTTCACTTCTTCCGTCATTTTAGAGCAACAAGTCATCAATTAACAGCTAGCAAATGGTGTACAATACGTACAGTACATACGTATACGCAACGTATACAATTAAAGGGCGTTGCACTGTGCAGAAATACTATTATCTACACAGTGCAATGCACTTTCACTGAAGATACTAATACTATCTGCACAGTGTAACGAACTTTTCTTCTCCCATCAATGATAGGCGAACTATCTTTCATCACGTGAATTACTTTTGACCAATTGTAGAGCAAGATTCTAAGTATGTGGAATATAATAACTTTAGGCCCCTCAATGAAAGTAATGATAATGTGTTATTCTATAGTCTTTATGTCTGTCCGACTTGACACTCCTGGTGCTCCACAATAATTCCCGCCTTTAGCATGGCTGTCATAATGGCGCTCTAGCGTTTCAAGAAATTAATTCCTGCTTAATGCATTCATGTCAATTTACATATTTGATTCATTTCTTCTCGTTATGTTAAATGAACAAATTTCTCATTTTCAAATGGGGATTGGCAGTATAATAGTCTAATTCGGGAATGAGCAGTGACAGTTGTCATGGATGAAAATGCTTTCCCATGTATCATGTATCGAGCCGAAAAGTTATTACTTGAAACCACTGTCATAGGAACAAAACGCACTTTAGTAATTGCCGAATGATATGATTGTCAAATATTTATGGTCGATGCTTCATTTTGAATTGCCATTAGAATGCATTATTAGAAGCAGGGATGTGGGTCGCCCCATGATTGTAAAGAAAAAATTGAAACAATACTTGTATGCTAGATGATCAACCTTTTCTGATCGATTCCACGATGTTTCTTTTACAATGCAATCGCATGACCATAACTGGTCTTTATCTTTCAGCTATACTGTTCATGTATTACTTACTAAGTTGCTCGACGGCTCGTTAACAGAAAATTTAGATTGATTTATTCAAACGCTTAGACCCCAATATTTCAAACATAATCCTGAAATGTAAATAACTAAATACCATTAACAATACAAATACTACAACTACTATTCCTAATCCTTCTACTTCTGATACTACTACAATACTGCTACTTCTTCTACTATAAATATATTGCTTCTATAAATACTACTACTCCTACTTCTGCAATCACCCATACTGCGAGAGTTTCTTGCTCCTATGGTTTACAAAACAAATGCTTAAAAGAAAGGGGAAAAGCACTCTAGCTATAGCATTTCAAAAAATCAATTCCTGCCTAATGCATTTATGTCACTTTTATCAATTCGATTAATTTCTACTCGTTATGTTTAATGAACAAGTTTCTAATTTTCAAATGGGGATTGGCAGTATAATAGTCTAATTTGGGAATGAGCAGTGATAGTTGTCATGGATAAAAATGCTTTCCCAAATATCATGTATCGAGCCTAAAAGTTATTACTTGACAATACTGCCATAGGAACAAAACGTCCTTTAGTAATTGTCGAATGATATGATTGTCAAATATTTATGGTCGATGCTTCATTTTAAATTGCCATTATAATGCATTATTAGAAGCAGGGATGTGGGTCGCCCCATGAATGTAAAGAAATAATTGAAACAATTTGTGAAGATGAGTTGCTTCATCCCAACCTTCAGGAACAAATGGTAAATATCAACAAAATATTTTACTTCCAATCCGTATTTGCTGCATTGAGCTCTTCTTGCCACCGCTAGGGCGAGAGGCCTTGACTTCGTTAACAGAATATTTAGATCGATCTATTCAAACGCCAAGGCCCCAATATTTCAAACTTAATCCTGAATGTAAATAACTAATACCATTAACAATACAAATACCCTTACGACTATTCCTAAACCTACTACTTCTGCTACTACTACAATATTGCTACTTCTTCTACTCTAACTAGTATTGCTTCTATATATACTACTACTACTACTACTACTACTACTTCTGCTAATTATTACTTAATCTATTACTACTACAAATTTTCGAGGGCCAAAACAAAATTAGTGCTCACAAACCCCCCCCCCCCCCCCCCCTTCGCTGAGCGAATTATCGGCCGGCTATCGCCGCTAAATATTTTCTCACGAATTGGGCTCCCTCCCCTGCTGCCGGCTGGATCCGCCCCCGATATGCACTGTACGCAGGTTTTAAGTCACAGTAGGATAATGAACGCTACTTGTCGAGTTCATTGTCCGTCTTCTTGTTACCCAAGTGCAATGCATATTACTAATGCATGAGCTAAAAACGTGTATTATTTGTTTTTTAAGATTGGTCTACAATGTGAGTATAAAGTCGAGAAATCGACGGTTGCTATCACCAAAATGCACTCCTATCCCCGTGCATATGGTAAAAATGAATGCACGCACACGTGATCCATTTCGACGCTTCTCATTGACTACATTCTTAACCCAGTTTACAAAACACAATGGCACATAGTGACAGTACTTCATTATATTCTTTAAATGTCTTAGTTTGGCATATATAGAAAGAGAGAGACAGAGAAAAAGAAAGAGAGAGAGAGAGGGAGAGAGAGAGAGAGGGGGGGACAAACAGTTCCTTGATATAAAAATAAGATGATTAAATACCCCCCCCCCAAAAAAAAAAAAAAAACATATATATAGCAGTGACTACTACTCGAAGCTGAAGTAGATAGTATTTTGTGCGTTTTAAAGAGTACAATAATTTAGGTCCTTTGCAGGCAAGACGTCAATTCTACTGCGAGTGGGAGCCCCTTTTTATACTCGGGAGAAAACCAAAAGGGTCGGTGTTAGTTCCTTTAAAGCAAGATCATTAAATATTTATACAAATAAATGTCAATATTGTCTAATTAACACAATCACAAAGAATTTCAAAAGTTAACCTAGGGCAATTTCAATATGTTCTGTTTCCTTGCGCTTCACTTTTTGAAACATGAAAATGACATATTACGAATCCGAACAGGATTTCTATGGGCGATTTAATACAGTATTGAAGTTGCCCTTGAGCAGCTATCTGCAAGTACAGGATGGTTGAATTACTCAAGAATATATTCCTGCCTACAACTTTCTTATACATTTTCCAAACAAAACAACATCTTTCAATATAACCTTTTTCATTCTTTTATTAGTTATAAAGAAGAAATTGTCAAATTTATATCGTAAGCAAATAATTATCGTTGGTGAAGGCGATTGGACAAACTATCACTTCCGAGGCGATCTGGATGTAGCAATCTTTTCGAAGCGAAGCTGAGGAAAAATAGCGTATACATTCAGATTCAGCCGAGGAAGTGATAGTTTGCCATCGCCTGAAACCAAAAGGTGAGTATTTGCTTTATATTCCATATTTCAAA